ATGCCGACTACGATGCCGGCGAAACGTTTGAGAATGTACCAAGTCCACTGTCTGATGCTGAGAATCATGAGAACTACTATGGCAGACGACTTCGGACTAGGTGCGTTCTACTAAATCGCTCTGACACAAGACCAAGTGGCGACGAGGTCAACTCACTTCTATAAAGAATACAAGTTTCAATGGACTATACTAGATTTAGGCTACAAGCTTTGATTACTAGAAAATAAACTAAATATTTTCCAGCTTATCTAGCAATACTATATAAATGCTACGATAATACGAGTAAAGGTTAGAAATTAAACAGAATCGTAAGTATTTTATTTCGCTGGTTAACAAAGCAAATTAAATTGGCATGATAAAATGAAAGCAGTTGGATATCACCTTAAGCTTACATAATTAACAGGAATGCTTGAGGGCTGTAAGAGAGTCAAATCCCCTTCCAGAAATTATAATAAATATAGAATAGCAAGAATAAATAGTCTTTAATTGCTAGATTCAGAATAACATCTAGTATCATGCTTGTAACTTACTTATTACAATATAAAAATGGAGGCAGAGCAAGCAACAGATAAATAAAAAAGATAAATAAGCGGCAAGTGAAAGAGAAAAAGAAAGGACACATAATAATATGGGCGTTTAAAAGAAGCATTCATCTCACCTCGAATCGTAGTCCATGTTCTTGAGCTGGATGCCGATAATGGTGTGCGCCAGCTGACCTCCCCCAACCATAACAGGCCCACCACCGGAAGCAAAATGCTCAGCAATGAGGGAACCCGCCTGAGATGACATCTCGGACCCACGAGATATAGGTAGCAGACGACATTGGATCCCATAAAGTTCTTGAATACAAAAGCTTACCTGCATCCGAGAAACGAGTATGAAAGGTGTAATAAGTAGATGTGGTTTAAGGGTAATGTAGGTAAAAGGACAAAATGTATAAACGGACTAAATAGAGAAATGGCTAACTAAATTAGCTAAGATTCATAATAAAAATGTATTTAGCAAAATTACCAAAGAACCGGATAAGAGAAGATAATGAAATATCAATTAGTTGTATTAGGCATCCAAATTGAATGCTTAGCGGCTACAATATACTTTGAATGGGAACTGTATCAAAGCCTACTAAGTATTAATACAAAACTTGTCTAAACGTTAGTCATAGTTGAAAAAAATAAAATAGTACGTTGCATAAACCATCAATGATGTGCTATCTATGAACGAAGTTGCATTCTGAGTAAAATGGTTGATTCGTCTGACTCGATAATAGATTGTGTTATGGGGTTTCGAATACACGACAGTTATTTGACTTGTTCTGAAAAAGTGAAAGATGGTACAGCAATGTGGATGCCATTGAGTGTGCACATGGTCTAATAGATACTAGGCCTAATGTTAGCATAAATGAAAAAATTAATACTTAGAAAGATAAGGAAGCAATTCTGAGGTTATTACGAAACGATAAAAGCCGTCGTTAGTACCCAATTACAAGATTTTATAAAAAACTCTTGGTTTTCCTGCATGTCCAGAGACTCCTTTTGTAAAAGTTTTCGCCACAAATAACAACTAGCCGAGCCTGAGTGTATCGAGTCCTAGTAAGTATAACTTACCTCTAAGGACCCGATCCATTGTTTGGAGCCAGCAAAACTTGCCGGTTTGTCACCAATTCGCACTAGGCTTCGTTGGATCTCTATATGGGTTGGAAGAGGGCCAGGAGACTCAAGCGGAGTTTTCTCCTGCCACATTAGCCAGGAAATAAGGGTCTGCAACGACCGATATGCACAGCCCCAACCACGATCAAGGAATTCGTCCTGTGCAAGATAAAAAGGATATGAAATGCTAATCGTAGACTAAAATATAATTATAAGAGGAATATTTTGCAGCAATCGGGAGACGAGCTATAAAAAGGCCTTCAAGATAGTTTGAGATGACAGAAGGAAGACATAATTTCGAATAGATACATATATATATAAATTAATATATTGATATAGAGGACATAAATCGGTAGAATATTTGATGGAACATAATGAAAACAAAGTGATAAATAAGTACCTTAGGGTTAGCGTCAGTGAAAGTTAGAGGAGGCCGCGAAACATACCTGAAGATAATGCTTGTAAGTGTATCGACCTTGCAAGACACTTACTACACCCAGGCCTTTAGGAGGCTGCAAGGCTAAATGTGGAGTAACTAAAGTACTTTTGTCGGGCCCAAGGTATTGTATGTAGAGTTTGCTTGGGTAAAGGGCGAGCCCGCGTCGCAAAAGATCCTCTTTCCCTGGAATACCTAGATCTGAAGTAAGAAAATACTGCTAAATGACCCTGAAAAAAATTGACTTTTTTTATTGAAATAATAAATAAATTCATTGCAAGTCTAAAATGATTTGAGCTATCATGAGTACAAATTTAAGGTTTGGAGTGGAGGTTCGATAGGAGAAACAGGCTATTTAATTGGTCATGACTGCATCAAGTAATTAATATTAATGATACGAGTGCCGTTTTTTAAAATATAAGATAAATATCTACAATGATACCCACAAAGATCTTCAGACATTCCATCTGCTAA